AGGTCTAAGTCTGTGCGGTCTAAATGGCTGCTCCCCACCAGAGTCCACCCAAACAAAGGAGCCCTTAATGCCCAAGTGATGGTGTACCAGCGTTCCATCCCATATACCATTTGAAAAATGACCCTAATACACAGCAACCCACCAGAACCACTATAAGGGAATTCTTAAACAAAGATGAGTTACCTAAAATATCCTAACTTAATTGCCAGTCGTTAGACACTCCTTTCACAGAGGAATAAGTAAGTAAAGCTATTCACTCACTCTCTAAACATAAAGCGCCAGTTACAGATGGACTCTCCAATTATTACTATATCAAACTAGAACCCATCCTATCCCCTTAACTCACTACACTTTTCAACCATATCAAAAGTACAGGCGACATGCCCGGAGAGATGCTAGAAACGCATGTGGTCATCCTGCCGAAACCCGGCAAACCACCCTTTGAAAGCGCCAACCTGAGACTAATCTCTCTGCTTAATGCTAATATCAAGCTATTTGCAAAACTTCTGTCTTCTTGTTTGAAACCCTTAATCACATATATTGTGTCTATTGAGCAAGCAGGTTTCTTCCCTAACAGACAAGCTGGGGACAATACCAGGCACTTCATCAACCTGATAAATTGGGCACATTCAAGCAAACAACAAAGAGTTATTATGATATTAGATTCTGAAAAAGCATTTGATTACTTAAACTGGGAATATATGACCATGACACAATTAGGCTTTTCTACTGGATTCATGCGCAGTATACAAGCACTGTACAAGTGCTGTACAAAAACCCAACAGCTAGAGTCTTCAACTAGGGCTTCCTATCAACCCCCTTGCACATATCGAATGGAACCAGACAGGGATACCCACTTTCCCCTATCATCTTTATTTTATTCTTAGAACCATTGTTATACCACATAAAACAACATGCAGACATACCTGGAATAACCACACGTGTTGCTCTTTCTGACCCAATCAACAACAACAATTACAATATTAATGGACTTACTATAACTATATGACCAAATAACATACTACAAGAACAACACCAGAAAAACACAGGCCTTATAAGATTACCAGACACAATAGTACACACACTAAAAGAAACATACCCATTTGACTGGAGATAGACAGCGATCAAATATCTAGGAAACAATTTAACAAAATCAGCTCCTCTCTTAACCCCTTTAGGACTGAGCCAAATGTACACTTTGTGATCAAAACAAAACGTAAACAAAAACTTGAATTTGCGCATATGTCTGTCCAGGCGTAATTCGCCTCTTTCATATTATGCGCACCGACACTTATTACATATAATTTTATTCAGGGCAAATGGGGCTTTCATTTAGCATCAAATATTTAGGTATGAAACATAATTTAATATGAATAAAATATTATAACATGGGAGAAAATTAGAATTTTTAAAAAGGTTTTAGTTCTACGTGACATTCTATCTGTGAATGTCATAATACTGTTTTATTTTACTGCAATAAAATATGCTTAATTGCATTCAGCAATGTCTCACGTGTAAAACAGTACCCCTATGTATAGGTTTTATGGTGTTTTGGGAAGTTACAGGGTCAAATATAGCATGTTACATTTTTCAGTTTTTTCACATTGAAATTCGCCAGATTGGTTACGTTGCCTTTGAGACTGTATGGTAGCCGAAGAATGAGAATTACCCCCATGATGGCATACCATTTGCAAAAGTAGACAACCCAAGGTACTGCAAATGAGGTATGTCCAGTCTTTTTTAGTAGCCACTTGGTCACAAACACAGGCCAAAGTTAGTGTTAAAATTTAATACATACATGAGTGGTGGGTGGGGACCCTAAATAAATTAATAATGGGGGGACCTAATGTCCCCCCAGCACCCCACCCATGAGCGGCGGGTTGGGTCACTAATAAATAACAGGGGATCCCCCCATTATTTAGGGTCCCCATTCGCAGCTCATGGGTGGGGATCTGGGGGGGACATTAGGTTCCCCTTATTATTTATTTATTTAGGGTCCCCACCCGCCGCTCATGAGTGGTCGCATAACTATCTCCAAACCATGTCTCTTATCCTTAGATCTATCATTAACTCCATCCAACATCTGAAATACATGACAAGCTGTCTGGCTTATTAGGTAATAATTAAACACTTTGTTTTGAATGAGATAGGATTCAGGTAAAAGAGATCGTACTGGTATTTTGAGTCTCCTGAGAAATCCCCTTATTCTTGGCTATATGATAGTGCCTCCCACAATGCCTGGTAATACATCGTTACTGTTTGTTATTTTTTCGTGTTTGACTTAATTATACGTGTTGGGCCACTGGTTCCTCCTAACATTATGACAGGGCCGTGGACCCTGCAGAATTCAGTCAACACATGTTGGCTTGTGAAAGAAGGCTGGAACAAAATTATCACTGTATGGATAAATTAACCCAGGCCTTTCAGGCCTTTAGATATATACAATTTCTATTGTGATCAGATCCAGATACAACATCTGCCAAGGCCCTACAGGACAACCTCATCCATAGGTGGGAAACTGAAATAGGGTATGTCCCATGAAAATTAGGACTGTTGTGAGGTCTGATGTCAGTCACATTGGTTCCTAGATAAGAAACACAAATTGCAATGAAAGCAACCAAAACTCTGGTCTTATTTCATCCATGTGTCTCTCTGCAGTGGTAAGCAGATTAGTTGGTTTGGCATTTCCTCAATATTCTAATTTTTACAGTAGCAATTAAATGCATAACTTTATCCAACCCATGTGTCTTATCCTTGGATCTATTATTAACGCCATCCAACATCTAAATACATGACAAACTTCCTGGCTTATTAGATAATGATTAAACACATTGTTTTGAATGAAATATGATTCAGGTAAAATAGATCATAGGTATATTTTGAGTCTTCTGAGAAATCCCCTCATTCCTGGCTTAGACACAAGTGATATTATACTGCTATAGTGAGAGTTTCGATACAGACAGAGATTGGCTATTGTCAGGATGTCAGCGACTTACCTGCTGGTAGGTCTCATCTTATTGCTGACAGGTAAGTAAATACGTGAACATGATTTTATTTCTCATTATTTTATTGTATTTATTTATGCTTTTAAATTGTGGAGCTTGTGCAAACATCTTACATGTATATGTATAACAAATTATATTCAATAAGTATATGCTCTTAATATTACAGTTTATAGTGCGTTAAAATACAAGTACAATTCACCTGATTATTAGTTCCGACCTAAAGAAATCTTTAGGATAGAATCTGGTTGTTATTGTCGATATACCTTGAATCAAAAGACCTCTAGATTACAGTAATGTATAATTTAGTAAAATAGTCTAGTTTATTTGTACATCATTTGCAGAGATATTTGGAGATACCTTACAATGTTTGTTTTATACTGCTTGTTTGTAATCTTCTCATCATGCGTACAATAGAAAATATAAAGGACATATAGAAGGTGTAGATCTAAAATGAATATAAAACTGATAAAATATTTTGGCTAGCAATACGCTAGTGTTTATATATTTTTTTTATTCTGACTTTCAGTGCATAATGACCATATGTATTAAATGCAGACACATGATTAAAAACAGACACCTTTATCATTTCTTTCTCATTTTCCATGGTTGCCAACAAAATCCTAAAGAAACTCTTGGGTAACTCGTTCGCAGTGATGACTATATGTGTGCCTGTATGTGAGTTAATTCATTTTGGCCTAACCATAGTTTTTTTTAAAAAAATCAACATATACAAAGTTTGGGGGGAAGGCCAAATTTCGGCCATATGTCAGTTCAAATTGGCAGACTTATGGTAACAAAAAAACTGGTTCTGGGAAATGAATCAGTCGGATCAAAAAGACAAGAAAATGGCCCAATCAGTTTACTGTAAAATATATACATAAAATATATACATAAAAAGTACATGTATAATTTACAGTACACTGATAGGAGCATTTACCTGCTATTTGGTTTACAGATTAGATTAAGACAAAGTAGCAAAAGAGAGAAAAACAGAATGAGAAGTAAAAAAAAAATCGATATTTATATGTAGACGTCTACAATGTTTTTGGGTGCCACAGGCAGAATTCGGAATTGCAAACATGAATATGCTTGGCTTAGAGTTTTGGGAATTAGAAAGATCTTCAGATTAACCCAAATTCGAACAAATTGAACTTTGTAAAACAAATCAAATCTCCAAGCCTAGCTGATATTTAAGCATATATGAGCAGCTAAACAAATCCGTTTTTCTTTTACCTTTGAGTAAATGTTATTGCAGTTATGTGTTTGAAGGATTTATGTCAATGTAAAAAAAAATATCTTCCACTCAATCAGTTATTTTGTGGTATATCAGTAAAAGAGTGAAATGTTCCCAATCTGGCAAATGTTCCAGAAATACACAGCTGTGGTATTCAGGAGAACTTACATAGTGATTTCACACTAGTGAGCAAAGTACACAGGGAATTACAACAAAATAATTTAGGATACTACAGGGTAGTGCATAACTCTGTATGTTTTTATTTTGAAATGGAAACAGGGATCAAAGTGAAAGGATTACAGTTAAATCTATGACAGGGGATGGCTGGCAATGTTGGGACTGGGGGACAAGTACAAAGGACTAGACTTTTTTTTCTAAATAAAACTCACAGATCCAACAAAAAATACTAGTGTTTGCCGGCTGTCCCCTTAGTGATATCTTTCATTCAAGATGAGGAAATTGATATTCCACAATTCATAACAAAATATAATTTTATATTTGTAGGAAAAAACATGGAAAAGCAACTGATTGTCCATGCCACTACTACAGTAATTTGCACAACAACAGAAACAAATGCTAACACTGGTACAGCAACAGAATTATATATTGAAACTATCACAGCAACAGAATCATATACTGAAACTGGCACAGAAACAGAATCATATACTGAAACTGGCACGGAAACAGAATCATATACTGAAATTGGCACAGAAACAGAATCAAATACTGAAACTGGCACGGAAACAGAATCATATACTGAGATGGGAAGAACAATAGAACTATCTTCTGATTCGGGAACAGCAACAGAACCCCTTACTGACATTAGCACCCCAATTGAAACTGGTTCCTCAACCGAAATTCCTAGTAAAACTAGCACAGCAACAGAACATTCTACTAACACTGGCACAACAGAAATAACTACAGTGATTTGCATGGTAATGGAATCTATTACTGAGTCTGACACCACAACAGAATATGTTACTGAAATTGTCACTACAATAGAATCACCAACTCAAACTGGCACAGAAATACCAACTGAAACTGACACCACAACAGAAATCGCTACTGAAATGAGCACAGAAACAGAGCCACCTACTGACACTGGCACCACAACAGATATTTCAACTGAAACTGACACTACAACAGAAACCCCTACTGAAATGAGCACAGAAACAGAACCACTTACTGACACTGGCACCACAACAGACTTTCCAACTGAAACTGGCAATGCAACAGAAGAACCTACTGAAACTGACACTATAACAGAAACCCCTACTGCAATGAGCACAGAAACAGAACCACCTACTGACACTGGCACCACAACAGATATTCCAACTGAAACTGACACTACAACAGAAACCCCTACTGAAATGAGCACAGAAACAGAGCCACTTACTGACACTGGCACCACAACAGACTTTCCTCCTGAAACCAGTACTGGAACAGAAGAACCTACTGAAACAGGCACTGGAACAGAAGAACCTACTGAAACTGACACTACCACAGAAACCTCTACTGAAATGAGCACAGAAACAGAACCACCTACTGACACTGGTACCACAGCAGACTTTCCAACTGAAACCGGTACTGGAACAGAAGAACCTACTGAAACTGATGCTACAACAGAAACCCCTACTGAAATAAGCACAGAAACAGAACCACTTACTGACACTGGCACCATGACAGACTTCCCAACTGAAACTGGCACTGCAACAGAAGAACCTACTGAAACTGACACTATAACAGAAACCCCTACTGAAATGAGAACAGAAACAGAGCCACTTAGTGACACTGGCACTAAGACAGACTTTCCTCTTGAAACCAGTACTGGAACAGAAGAACCTACTGAAACTGGCACTGGAAGAGAAGAACCTACTGAAACTGACACTACAACAGAAACCCCTACTGAAATTAGCCCAGAAACAGAACCACCTAATGACACTGGCACCACAACAGACTTTCCTACTGAAACCGGTACTGGAACAGAGGAAACTACTGAAACTGGAACTGGAACAGAAGAACCTACTGAAACTGGCACTACAACAGAAACCCTTTCTGAAATGAGCACAGAAACAGAACCCCCTACTGATACTGGCACCACAACAGTCTTTCCTACTGAAACTGGCACTGGGACAGAAGTACCTACTGAAGCTTTCTCTACTACAGAAATCCCTACTGGTATGAACACAGAAACAGAACCACCTACTGACACTGACACCACAACAGACTTTCCAACTGAAACTGGCACAGCAACAGAAGTACCTACTGACACTAGCACCACAACAGACATTCCTACTGAAACTGGCACTACAACAGAAATCCCCACTGAAATGAGCACAGAAACAGAACCACCTACTGACACTGGCACCACAACAGACTTTCCAACTGAAAGTGGCACTGCAACAGAAGTGCCTACTGAAACTGACACTACTACAGAAATCCCTACTGGTATGAGCACAGAAACAGAACCCCCTACTTACACTGGCACCACAACAGACTTTCCAACTGAAACTCAGACATCAACAGAAGTACCTACTAAAACCGATATTACAACAGAAATTGCTACTGAAATAAGCACAGCAACAAAAAAAACCATTGAAACCACAACAAGAACAGAAACACCTGGTGAAATTGGCACAACAGAAGCAAAAACATTGGAAACCTCTTACACAACTACAAGTCCAATCATAGTTCCTTTCACAGCAACTACCACAACAGATCCCAGCACTACCTCTCTAACCATGACAACTCAGACCACGACATCTCCCACAGAACCAGCTCTTATCACAACATCTCTCATAACAACTCAGAACATAACAACTTCAAGCACAGTCACCACCGTTACCCCAACCTCAACAATTCCCACCACAACCACTACCTTAACTTCAAATGGACCAACTGCTCGTAAGTAACTGGATCTCTTAACTGTTCCCTTTACTTTATCTATATGGTGCTAGAAATTGTATTGGATTTCCTTGAGAAGGGATATTTCCTGATTTGATGTATAACTTTGTAGGGAAATACAATTTAATTAGATTGATCTTTATTTTGGAACTATTACAGTGATGCAAATCACATTCTTCTTATTATAATTTGGAATACATCACACTTGCATTCAATGGTAGTTTATCCACAGGGGCACTCTGTAATCAATCAATCAATCAATCAATAAATAAATAAATGACAGTGGTAAAATAGTGAACTACTGACATAGGCCACTGTTAAATTTGTTTGAATCAGGTACATAGTGAGGTTTTTGTCTGCTCATCAGGTGCACATTTGACCCATGGGTTGTGATTTCAATCTCATCAATTAGACTATTTTTTTTGTACATTCTTTATTTTCCAAATCTGTAGTTATAAATTGTGTATTCCAATTCCTTATGCTCATATTATCTTTATATAGTTAGTGAATGCCTTTACTAAAACTTGGACAAACTACATGAATTTCACTTGTTGAGTTTCTGTGGATTTAGCATGAATGAGTAAATAGTTTCACTTGCTGTTGGTCCATGTGTTGGTCCATGTGTTGGTCTGTGTAAAATAATGTTTGGGTTTATATGACATAACAATAATCAAAATTAAAACACAGAAATATGTTATGCCCATTCAAGAATTGAATCTCGACTGCCAAAGTGAAAAACAAGCTGCATAATCACAAGGCTATATGGGAACATATAAAACTATAAAGCTCAGTTTCAATATTAGCAGTGTAAGCTGCACTTTGTGCCCCCTGAAGTCAGCACTTTGTGTGTCTGTTGATATATGCTGATTAGCTATCCTACATATCCAGTTACTTTTGCATTATTGTCTTGTCCTGTATCCTTTTTCTTAAATGAAATTATCCGCGCCGACCAGGGGGGACAGACAGGGGCAGGAGCCGGGAGTGGGGTCACAAAAAGCCTGCCTGGTCCAAACTTGCTGTAATACTGAGAGACAAATAACATCTCCAATTACAGAATTTGAGACAGAGCCACTTTAACGAACCCTATTAGACGTTAATCATACAGACAGTGTGCATGTATTTGTGTGGGTAGATGATGAGTTAATACAACATGGCTTGGGGTTAATAGAGCAGGTAATTCAATCAGTGCCTTGAAGTAGCATTTTGATTTGAAGTACAGATTAGGGATTAGGGTATTATTGGGCTGGATTTAGGAGGGGCTTAAGTCAATATATGCAGAAGGAGCCATATAACCCATTTTTGGCTTGAAGCCACTGGTGCTGACAATTGTGATTATTTCATATTTTAATGTAATCATATTAGGGTGGGAATAGTATAACTGATTAGTTTAAGCAGTTTTCTGCATAATGAGTAATACATAATAATATGTTTTAACCCTTTTAGTGCCAGAAGTGTGCAAATCACATTGCTTTTCATTGTGCTGGTCATATCCCTGGCATCCAAATTATTAAGCCAATGAAATAAAGATTTTCTTTTTTTATTAGACATCAATTGAAATATTTCATATTTGTCCAAAATATCTGGAATTAGTGTTTCCAGATAAATGGGTGGGTACAAATTAATAGAATTTGAAATCTTAAAACTTCACCAGCCACCACTGGTTGCATTCCAAAATGGAACCAGCACAAAGCTGGTGGCTAGTTGGCACTTCCTTCATCACAGCATTGTTCACTTTTGACAAAGTGCCATCTAGGTAGTGTGTCCAACTGGCTCATCTCTAAAAACATCATAAAAAGCAGCAATGACCTCCAGATTGTATTTATTTTTTTGTTTCTACAGAATGTATCAAAAATTAAAGCTTCAACCTAATCATTTTTGGATAGGCTTTTAAAATAAATTAATATTTTTTGGTTAAACTTTTGAAATGTTTGATTTATTTTCGGAATTATGTTAGTATAGTAATATTTTGACATTTTTATATATTGATTTTTTATATATTATATATTTTTTGATATTTTAATATTTTGTAAAAAAATATTTTTAACGTTTATCTTATAATATTAAATCATTCGGAATGCATATCCAACAATTTTTACATGAGGACTAAGAATATTAATATACATAATGTATGTCACCATTTTCTATTCCCTAGCTTAATTTTATTTTATATTTACCATTTGGATGACTGGCAGAAAAAAACCAAAATTATAATTATAATGTTATCCCTTTATGAGGTACATCACTCAAGGTTGGTGATCCGAAATGCTAATTGTTGTTATATGTTCCATTAACATTGCAAACTCCACTGTCAGATCCTTCAGTTAACTTATTCAACTTATCATTCTCAGTTCAATGTCACAATGGAGGTACTTTAGATGGTAACGGATGTGTTTGCAAAAATGATTACACAGGACACCAATGTCAGTTCATGAAAGACAGCATTGAACTAGGTAAGTGTTTATAGTGTAATTATTTATTTTTTTGCCAATATTTATTTTTCAGAGCTTAGAGTTACAAATATGCTTGCAATGCCACAACAGTAGAAGCAAGTTTAACTGTACATTTCAATATATATAGCGTAATGGCACCCGATGAATCAGCTACATTTTTAGTTTAATAAACAAATAGCCATTAAGTTATCACATGCTAGAGAACTATTGAGTCGCAATTCCACCCCCCCAAAAAAAAAAAAAAAATCTGACCACTTTGAGGAACAAACATTGGTATGAGGGTGTTAGAGATAGCAAATGTCAGTAGATAGGGGAAAATATGAGAAAAAAGAGGAGTGAGGGTTATGCTATGAAAACAAAATGACAGAACCACTAGATAGCTAATAGACATGAGCCATGGAGCTCTCATATGTTATCCTAGGGAGTGTTCTCTGCACATGGTGATGTCGCCAGAATTCATCACCATAAACCATAAACAGGCCCGAGGAGAGAGTCTAGATCCACACCAGTGCTGTAATCGCAAGACAGAGGTTGTTGAGAACCCAGGCGCTGGTACACTTGCAATTTGTAGTGCAATAAGTTCCTGTGTCTTTGGACTTGTAGGAGGCTAGAGCCTCTTGTCCATAGACCCATCCAGAGGCAGGATCCGTAGCCTTCAGGGTCTCCGAATTGGTGGCAATCCCTCGTGCATATGGACAGCTGTGTGGAGTTGATGCCATAACTTTAGTCAACTTGGCTATTTTAGATCATCGGCAAAAATGATAAGGCTGTTTTAAGCCTGGATACAAGAGAGCGTAATATCCATGTGAGAAACTGTGATGATTTTAAACTGCATTAACAAAATTCAATTCACTTTTCCAGTTCACCTGAGTTATTTTAATCTATATTTGGGGGGCAAGGGCCCCCAATTACACACCAAGCAGACCTGTTATCTCCAAAAATGTTCTAGAACTGCTGAACGCTGCTGGAGAAAGTCTGACTTCCTCCACTATAAATTTATGTTGCGCTCTTACAGCCTGCCTCTTTCCGCTGCAAAAGTAAATTACTTCATATGTACACTGTCCCATCAACCCAAACACCTATTTCACACTTTTGATGCTCTTCTTCGCCCTTTTACTCCCCCTCCTTCTACCACCTTGTCCACCACAAACTTTGCATCTCACTTCACTGAGATCTCTACACTCAGAGAAGAGATTGCTAATTTCTCTTATTCCCCTACCAATACATCAGCCAACCCCACTCCCTCCACCATTCTACACTCATTCGCACCTGCTACAGCAGAAGAGGTTTCTGCTCTGCTCCGGTCCTCCTGCCCCACCACAAGTTCCCTCGATCCTATTCCTTCGTATCTCATCTGCACTTTGTCTTCCTCTCAATAAAACTTTCAATATCTCCCTTTCCTCTGGCACATTTCCCTCACCCTTCAAACATGCAACTGTGACCCCAATTCTGAAAAAGCCCAGCCTTGACCCCAACTCCCCATTCAACTACCGCCCTATCTCGCTACTGCCATTTGCGTCCAAGATCCTCGAGAGAGTTGTGTACACCAGACTGACTGACTTTCTCGAATCCAACTCCCTGCTTGACCCATTCAGTCTAGATTCTGCGCTGGTCATTCTGTCGAAACGGCGGTGACCCAAGTATCCAACTATTTAATTGCTGCTAAATCTCGTGGCCATTACTCTATCCTAATTCTCCTTGATCTTTCTGCTGCCTTTGACACTGTTGATCATCAACAACTTCTTTGCATTTTCCATAATTTTGGTCTACGGGATACTCTCTCCTGGTGCTCCTCCTACATCTCCCAGCGCTCTTTCAGTGTTTCTTTCTATGATTCTGCCTCTTCCACCCAACCACTCTCTGTTGGCATCCCCCAAGGTTCTGTCCTTGGTACCCTACTGTTCTCTATCTATACTGCCTCCCTTGGTAAACTAATCAGCTTCTTTGGCTCCGCCCATCTTGACTCGTGTCTCTGACTGCCTCTCTTTGATTTCCAACTGGATGGGTGCTCACTTCCTTAAACTCAACCTGTCCAAAACAGAACTTCTGGTCTTTCCTCCCTCAAGTGTTACTACTCCCGTGTCTGTCTCCCTCCAAGTCAACAGCGCTGCCATTACCTCTACCTCGCAGGCTCGCTGCCTGGGTGTTCTTTTTGACTCCAACCTCTCCTTCACCCCTCATATCCAATCAATCGCCAAATCCTGTTGCTTCCATCTCAAAAACATAGCACGCATCCGCCCCTATTTAACCTTGGATGCGGCTAAGGTGATGGTCCATGCTCTTATTCTCTCTAACCTTGACTACTACAATACCCTTTTCAGTGGTCTTACATGTTCCCATATTGCACCGCTGCAATCTATAATGAATAGGGCCGCAAGGCTCATTTTCCTGTCCGCTCGTACCTCCCAAGCCTCCGCTCTGTCAGTCCCTGCATTGGCTTCCAGTTAGATATAGGGTTCAATTTAAAATGTTGGTGCTTGCTTAAAAGTCCCTACATAATGCTGCTCCAACCTACCTATCCTCCCTAACACAAAAGTATGTCCCGTTGAAGCCCCTGC